AACTAGATTAAGGATTGATTGATAAACTACTCTACTGACTACTCTACTAATTACAAGTTGGGAACTCACTTAGGTATGATTCCCCCTAGCTCCTCAATTAGGTCCAAGTTGCAATTACCTTTGGTTGATCTACTGTTGATTAAACTGCGGAAGATCCTAAATTAGCTTGGAATCTCTTAAGCTGACCAAGCCCTCTCAGACAGAATACCCGGCAGGCGACTAGCCTTCACCGGGATAGACTGCTAAGGCGATTCACACAGATCTCCACTACTGGAATCCAGTACAAAGCAGTGAATTGATTGACTCTCGCACAACCAATTCACTCTATCAATCAAGGAAGCTCTCTTAACCTAATCAGATTCTATCTATCATAGGTTAAAGCAGAAATCAAGAGAATTTGATCAAGATCCAATTGACTCAATAAATCATGCCTCAATCGATTATAATCAAACAATATAGCATCCAAAACTTCATACAAGAAAGATCCTAACACATGGAACTAGGGTTCCTCAAAACCTAAGTGAAGGGAAGTTACTCCATAGAGAAGAGAGAGACTGCAGAAATCTGATCTAGATCTTCAATCTCCATCTCCAAGCTTGATTCCCGAGCTCCAATGGCGAAGAAATCCTCCAAAATAGCTCCAAGAATGTTTCCAAGTCGCTCTCTCTCTCTAGGGTTCGTCCCTTGGGTGTTTGGGATCCAAAACCCAGCTCCCTCTCTCCAAAAATCGCAAAACAGCTTTTATACCCGCTGAAACTCGCACCCCCTACTTGCACGGCCGTGCAAATTGAGGTTATGGCCGTGCACAATTTCCAGCATGCACTCCTAAGCTTCGTTGATCTCGTTTGAGCTCGTTTGACCTCCGATTCAGTCGCCGTTTGATCCCAGACGCTCGTAGTCTCGTCCTCTTTCTTTTCATAACAAGCTTGCATGATTCTTTGTCCATAAAGTGAGGTAGAAATCCATTCTTCTTCAGGTCATGCCCGAGTTTCTTCTCTCGAATCGTCAATTGATCTCTGATTGACTTGAAACTTGCGCCTATGCTTCACTTTATGTGCTAGGACCTGAAATGGGACAAAGGAACACAGCCTAGCATAAAATAGGCCAAAGACACGATAATTCAAGCTCAAACAATCAAGAAACAAAGGGGAAAACATGTGCAAATACCGAGTCATCAACAAGCCCTTTACTGTTTGGGCATAGGAACTAAACCATTGACTACTGAGTCAAATGCCTCTGTGGTTGGGAGAATAGGAGTTACAAGAGGCGATGGAGCTTATCCTGCTTCAGCAACAGAAGACTATAATTCTACTCCTTTCTGCACCATTTCCACCCATCCCACTATTGCTTCCAATTGAGGATCATTGACAACTGCTTTCCTTTTTTCTATCTTTTTACTCCCATCTTCACTAGCACTCACATCCTCTTGCTTCTTGTTCCCCTCTTCTTTTCCTCCCTTTTTGTTCTTCCATACGTTTTTTATTCTCTGATCGTCCAAGTAACAGTCATGTCAAAATACCCCACACTTCCTACATACCTTAGGAAGATAACAATTATGGACCTCCACCTGAATTTCAGTAACATCATTCAGTGCCACTCGCAAACTCTCTACTAACTTATTCTTTGCATCAATCTCAACACAAACGTTAGCACAGCCGAACTTCACCCCATTCTTAGTGGATTGATCGATATACATTAATTTACAAAATTATTCAAAATAAAATTCGCCATGAATTACTCGTGTAATGGGAAAATTGTTCTTGCAAGTATAACTGCAAAATAATTTATCTGAATCTTTGAATTCATAGACATACATATATACCCACAATCATATACATTGCCTAGTCACAGTTTCACACTCTGCAGCTGCATACCATACTTATACATTCCATAATTGTCACTACATAGTACATACACAACCACACACATAATCAACTTTCCACAAATGTGGATATCTCACACTACATCATAAACTAGTATGCATATGAAAAAAGACATTTTTACAAAAAGGTGTGGATCACTGGCCAAAATACTAAGTATTCGTTCAATCACAGAGTAGTTGCAGACCATACCTCATCCTGCTTTCAACTCTAGCTGAGATCCCACCTAAAAACTTATCTACTGCTTTTGCTGATGATCTGCTTACACATGACATAAGCAGAGGAAAAGAATAAAAGAGGGTCAACTCATAACTGAGTGAGACATTCATCGCATAATGAGTTCATAACAAAGCATATCCATGTCATACATCTACCAATCAAGCCAAAACACTATGGTCGGACCTCAGTCATCCAACATCCCAATAGGCAAAAGATTCAACCACCTTGACTTATGCATGTGCGTCTTATCATGTTTTACTTATAGGCGTCTGACTACAACTCTCCCGGGAAACGTACCCCATATTCCGTCGGATGTAGTCATACATACCCCAACATACCGTCGGTTGCGGTCATATATACCCCACACCACTATGGGTGTAGTCATACCTCGACACCGCTCTGGGTGTGGTCATATCTCGTGAATAATCTTCAGTCAGCACCACATGAGGTGTGACTATCATACATATCATAATAGAGTATTAGCATAGGGATCCCTAATTACTATGTAATTGAACATGAGACCATAAAACTCTTATTTGGTATCCTTATACATGATTCATATCTCATCTTGCTTAATCATAATTCATTACTTGGACATGTACTTGACTTGGCCACAATAGGTAAACAAGGAGTTGTATAATTGCACTTCCTCAGGATAAACCCTTGTGCAAGTCATCCTCCATAAACATCATAATATCACCTTGGGAAGTCTATTCTCCCACTTTTTAATCCAAATACAACAATCATGTGAACTTATATTCAAGCACCTTCTCAAACCAGCATAAGCCATATCAATAGTTAAGCCCACAAATGGCAACATATATGCAATCATCAACATAAACATGGTCCATATCGATTAGAGCAAAGCAATAATATCACATAGCAATCTACAGTTCATCATATAGCATAAAAGTCCATACACCCTTAATAATGTCATTCTAGTTCACCTAGGTCAATTCTAAGCATCAATATAATTATCGTGATACGACAAACCCGGTATGCCGTGCTAATCCCTCACCAGTTCTGGTCGTAAAAACACTGGTTTTAGCCTCCCATACCAAAAACTCAATTTTCACCAACGAACCAAAATCAAAATATGAGATCGTCCTAGTATCCCCTGCAGTGTCCCCGTCATTATTAGTACTAGGCTCTTGGTCAAATTCTCGATAAAAACACATCAAACCCTAACCTCTAATGGGTGAAACCTAGTCCCTAATTCTCTAACCTAAGCCACAAGATTCATTTAATCTAAAAAATAATAACTGACGGTTCCGATTCAACGACTTATCTTGAAGTGCAAAAATCCAAAAACCAAGTGTGAACACAGGCGTACAGCGTACGCTAAAAGTGGTAAAAATAAATCAAATTTTGAATTTTAATTTGTAGAATTAGTCTACTATGATGATATAACATCGAAACACAACTAATCACGATAGAACCAGGGGGTACTTTATGATCAGAATTATGCAACAACGAATCAATTCAAAGATTGAATTGATTAAACGGAATTTCGAACAAAAAACAAGGATGTTCTTGGGTGTTTGGATAAAACGAAATCAAACATGCAATCTTTTACGTGGAAGAAAGCTCGAATGATATAAAGGTAGATCCCCGCCCACGATCAATGTGGTTTTGATCGATACAGAGCTAAACTCGAGCTTGGAATCCACCAAAGCTCTCACTAGTACGCAACTTGCACAAAACCAAATGGTTTCTTTTCTATTCAACAAAGTCAGAGTTTTTACAACAAAAATAGAAGGCTATTTATAGCCAAGAAAACCTAATACAAACCTAAATGAACAAGGAAACAAATAAGGTAAAAAAAGAATCTAAAAAGGACACAAAATTCGGCCAGAATTTCCCTTTCTTCAAGCATAAGCAACCTGTCTTCTAGCATAAGCAAGCTGCCAGGAAAACAGTCCAATAACAGCTTTCGTACTAACTTCGTACCATTCGTTCGAGGCCTTCCAGAACTCCAATCTTTCATGCAATTCCTTCCCTTGGTAGAAAAACATACCTATTTACATGTTGTGTAAGCCTCTTGACTTGAATCACATCCATGCTCTTTAAATTGAGCTCCAAAGTAGGCTTCACAACACGTTTCCAGACAACCATTTTCTGGTAGTTTTTCAGTTTTGATGTAGCAACTTTGAGGCCTTGGAAAACAATCTTAATAACTTCTTCTGGACTCAAAAAGCATATCATTGAAAAGATGACTTCTTCTGGACTCAAAAAACATATCATTGAAAAGATGACAACTTTATCTTTTAAAAAAGCCCTTAATCTTCAATTTTCATTTAGCCATTTGTGAGATACAAGCTTCCAAAGTAGATAACCTGAACTCGGATATTGACTTGGCCAAATTCTGCCCTTCTTCTTCCCAACTTCGATAGCTTCTTTTTCAAGTAATAAAAACGTGTATAGCTAGCCATTTGGATCATATCAGTAACCCATATATATTTAGGGAAAATTTACCCAGTTGTGGGAAGTAAGTACTCTTCATCAATAGTTGCTCTGAATCTCTGTTTTGGGCTTTGGGTTTGATTAAAAGTAGTTTCATAGTCTATAGGCTAGTAATAGTTGTGTCAAAACACATTGCAAAGTTCGTTTAGCTAAGCTAATATGTAAATGGTTAAATTAACCTCAACCACATATAATATCTAAAAGAGGAACAAGAAGGTCAGGAGATGTGAAGGTGGGAATTGGCAGTTCCTCTAACGAAATAGTGTTAATCAAACACCATACAGTTAAGGTTTTGATTAACCTCAACCACAAGGTATACATAGAGAACGAAGTTGGAAACTAGAAGTGAACAAGAAGAGAGAAGAGGCTACTAACCAGCCAACTAGAACTGAAGATCAGTTTGGTCAAAGCTCCTAATCGGTTACTCTAGACTGCAAACTAAATGGAGAAGCAAAGAGAAGGAAGATCCAGGGAGCTCCAGAGGGACAACTCCCCGTCTTCTTCCACATTCGACGCCGACGCCGAGGCCGACCCTGCACTAGTATTGCTGCCGCTGCTTATTATGTTATTAAGATGGTTAACATTTCTACCCTTTAACTTCTCCTCCGCTGCCTCTTCACTCGAACCCTTCAAGTCACAAACCACACTATAGTCACCGATTCGCATCTTCTTCGTAGTTACTTCGTCGCTAATAGTGCTTCTGGTCGCCCGGCTAAGGCACTCCGTCACGCCGCTGTAGGCGTACAGAGAGGCAGAGAACTTCCTCTCGTAATTCAGCCGCTTGCTGATCTCACTCACAACCAACGGCTCCCCTGCATCCTCCTCATCAACCCCATTACCATGACGATCCACACCTTCAGCCGATCGATTTTGATCGCTCATCTGCTTCGACAGAGGCTCCATCATCTCTTGCGCGATGTCGAATGCGGAGTAAGGCTGTTGTTGGTGAAATTCATTCATGAGATGTCCTTTCCCCACATCCGAACCACGGTCACCGTCGTCCCTGTTTCCCCTGTTCTCGTCGCCAAAAGTCGCGAACCAGTCGCGATTGTTACCATTAGTGACGCCTCGATAACCGCCGTCACCAAAACCTTCGTCGCCAATGATATTATTATTACCGACGGAAACAGGGTATGGGTTTCCAACACCAGAATTGTTGTTGCTGTCGATGCTCAAGAAGCCATTGAGGTCCCTATTCTCGCTCATCTCAACACCGTGATGCTCCTCCAACGGGCAGGCAACAATGCTCTGTTTCGTACTTTTCGGAGCAGGATCGTCACCAATTCTTTCCGTCGCTAAATCTCGGTTCCTGGCCTTGAGCCTGTGGAGCAAGAGATTGGTGATTTTGGGAGGGAGAACCGGCTTGGAATTGGGCGAAGAGCAGGGCCAGAAATTGGTGCGAGTGTTGGCGCCACGGAGGAGGCAGGCGGCTTCGTCGTAAGCTCGAGCCGCCTCCTCAGTGGTGTCGTAGGTTCCCAGCCAGACCCTGATCTTCTGGATGGTGTCCTTGATCTCCGCCACCCATCTACCCGACGGCCGCTGCCTGACACCCACAAATCGCTTGCGGGCCCTCCGGCCGCCGCCCAGAGCCGCTGCCTCCTCCATCATTTGATCCCACGACTTGATGTTATTGTTGTCGTCGCCGTCATCATCGTTGGTGGCCGGAGGGACGGTGACATGTTCGGGAGTTTTGAGCTCGTCGCTAAATCCATGTTCTTGCTTCATTGTTCCTGATGTTCTTTCTTTCTTCTTCTTCGTTTATGGGTTTGTTTTGGGGTTTACTGCGAGTAATCTGATGGTCTATATATGGTGATTGGAGTGAAGTAATTTTTTGTGTGGATATGTATGTGACGAGAATTTTTTAAGAAATGGGAAGTGGGGAAGAGCAGAAATTTGGAAGGAGAGATCAAGAAACGGGGGACTTTACCTCTTGGATTCACCTATTTGGAAGACATGCAAATCGGCTCTCACACGCCAAAAGACATTTGCAATGCGAGCAACGTAGCAGGGAAATATGGTGCGAAACTCGTCTTTGTTGTTCAGAAGCATAAATTATATTGGATAGTTTGATTAGGTATTTGTTTATTTTTTTTAGAGGACCAAGTCAAGAGCTGCCTTGTTTAGCATGATATTTTGGTACCTAATATTTTTATAATGACAATTTAGTATCTATATTTTTTCAAAACTACTATATTAATCCAATATTTTAGATATCACTGGGATCTATACGTATTCAATCCACCAATAAATTTTATTTAATCCATGTATCCACCAGTCCATTTAATCTAATTCATGAATCCATTAAACAGAACATAATTTTACCCAAAAAATAATTTTTTATTTGATTACTCATCCGATTTTGAATTGTGTTCTTCACAAAGTTCATTACAGAAAATGCTCTTTCAACACTTGCAATGGTGAAACATTAGCGCCAACTTCAAAACTCGATGTACTAATGAAAACACTTTATCATTTTCTGACACAATCATTTTCCTAGAAAGTTCAAGATGAAAGATATCATATTTAGAGAACTCATTAGAATAAAAAAGTTAGCAAGTTGTAACAATTTTGTCTCGTCAAAGCGCAGGGTTGTGGCTAGGAGGTCTTGGGTTCGTTCCTTGGCAGCCTCCACTTCTGCGTTACCCCCTTGGTGGTCATCGGCAAGGCTGTAAGCTCGTATTAAATGCTCACAGGGTTTGTCGGATATCTATGGGGGTCGGGGTTTGCAGTCGCAAGACGGATTCCTCCTCGTATAAATAAAATGAATCATATGAATTTAAACATGCTACACAACGTAGCGATTCCGTATCGACCTTTTTCTTGTCGAAGTCAACAAATGAATCATCTAAATTTAAAAATGCCACAAAACATAGCAATTTCGTATCAACCTCATTGAAGCGACTATGAAGCTCTTCTTACTATATATCCACAAAGGTTATACCCAAAGCATGAAGTGGTGTGTATCTTAGTGATGGAAATCACCTCTTTAATTGGGAGGTCTCTATTCAAATTTCCCTATAAACACAACACATTTTGTATATTTTTTTCCCTTGTGTTTGTGTTTTTTTTTTTACAATAACAACTTTTATTCCAACAACGAGAGAAACACGCGAAGCATGCGATTACAGTCTTAAATGAGATCAGAAATTAAATCAAGAATATTGATCTAGTCCTCAGGTAGTATAGATCTGGCCTTCGAGCGTGCAACCCAATCAGCTCTGACGTTCAATGCCCTTGGCACCTCTTTGACATCAATGATAGGGTTTGTCCCCAGAATAGTGACCATAGAGTTAATCCAGGCAGCACACCTCCAAGGCCAACGAGAATGATTTTGATTCAGAGCTTTCACCAACAGCTGATAGTCAGATTGAACTGTACATTCTGATCCATATTCTTGTGCTAATTTTGGACCTTCCAAAAGAGCTTTCGCTTCCGCTTCAATCGGGGTGGAACAAAAAAGTGTCTCAGCTCGCCCATCACACACTTGTCCATGGTGGTTAACAACCACGACACCATAAGCCGCCGTTTGGGAGTCGCTCAAGAACGACCCATCACAGTGAATCACCATCGAGTGATTACTTGGTGGGGGATTTGTAGTATGTTGGGTTTTCCTGGTCTGAGTAGGAGAGGTGAGGTTGGGAAGTGGGGACCTCGGGCAAGAAATTCATTCCGTAAGTTCTCTGTAGGTTTGCATGCAGACGTTTGGGGGGCAGAAAACTCCATTCTTGAAAGTACACTCATTCCTTGCCTTCCAAATATTCCACCATAGGAATACAATGTGAATTAGGGAGTCATGAGAAATGGTATCTTTAAGAGCACAAATCCAATAAAAAAGGAGGTATTCTGGGGAGGGAGTGGAAGAGATGGGAAGATAGCACTCCAGGAATCACTAGCATGTTGGCAATAGAAGAGGCAGTGGATAATGGATTCATACGGGTTTTGACAAACTTCACAAGTCTGATTCGGGGCACATTTCCAGTGAAAGAGCCTCTCTTTAGTTTCCAACCCGTTTCTGGAGCATCTCCAAATGAAGAATTTGAGTTTTGGTGGGAGGTTTAGCCCCCATATCCATTTCCAATTCTCTGCATTCCCTGCCGGTTGAAAGTTTGTGTTGCTTTGTGAAAAGCACGGTAAGCAATATTAACCGAGAACCATCCTTGGTGAGACTCCGGGCCCAAAAATCATCTGACTCTTCTTCCCCAATTGGAATTTGAAAGATAGCTTCCATTTCCTCAGCAGCAACATGGCCTTGAAACAGCTCCTCGTTCCAGTTCCTATCTCCCTGATCGATCTAGTCATTAACCCTCAGGTACTGCTGGGGACCACTACTAATGCCGAAGTTGTGCAGAGTTGGGATTTATGGGTAAAGACCGACCCAAGTATCCTTTCCCGACCCTATGACCTTAATAGCTCCCATGTTGATGACTTTTTTGGCCTCCCAGAGACTAGCCTAGATCCAAGAAGATCTACTATCCTTTTTTGCTTGGAGAAAGTCCCCTCTCGGGAAATAGAGGCCCTTGAGAAGATGACACCAAAGGGAATCGGGGGAGTTTAGGATCTGTCATGCTTCCTTAGCCAAAAGGGCCATGTTAAAGTCTTTGAAATTCCAAAATCCTAAGCCCCCTTCTGATTTATGAGCGCACAATATCTCCTTCCTACACCAATGCAGACTACTTTTTGCATTGATCCTGACCAAAAGAAATTGGTAAGGAGAGAGTTCATTTTCTTGGTAAGGATCACCGGGAGGTGGAAAAGGTACATGATGTTGGAGGGGGTAACTGGAATAACAGCTTTGAGCAGGATTTCTTTCCCTCCACGAGAGAGAAGGAGACTTTTCCAAACTTCCCCCATCTTCTCCATTCTATGAATGAGGAATTGAAAAGTTTCCTTCTTTGAATTGTCTCACTCCTTCGGAACCCCCAAATACTTTGAGTGAAAATTAGATGAGGATACTGGCCTTGTCTTCCATTGGGACATTCGCGTTGAAGAAAACAGAAGACGTATTGATATTTACTTCTTGCCCTGTGATTGCATATAATCTCAGATGAGTTCTAGGATTTTCGCAGCTTCTTGATGGTTTGCTCTACCAAAAATGATTGTATCATCTGCAAACAAACAGTGGGTGAGCACAGGGCATCTAGACTTCAGTTTGATCCCTTTTAATTGATCTTGGGCGACCTCCTTATCAATTAAAAAGGAGAGTGCATTTGACATCAGAATGAAGAGGAAAGGGGATAGTGAGTCTCCCTGTCTGATGCATCGCGATGGTCTGAACTCTTCAGTTGCTTCCCCATTGAAGAGGATGAAAAATCAAACCGACCTGATGCATGAACTGACCCACTTACACCACCTCTCATCAAACCCATAACTCTTCAGAAGAGTTTCCAAGTAGTCCCAGTCCACCATATCATACGCCTTCTTCATATCTAGCTTTAGCATCATGTCTCTTCTTCTTCCCAGCTTGTGGTTCTGAAAATGATGGAGATCCTCATGGACAATCATGATGTTATCTTGTATAAGCCTCCCCCCAGTGAAGGCAGTCTGAAGCTCTAAGACCAGGTTAGGTGTCCAAATCTTGAGGCGAGTCGCCATAATTTTGGATATAACTTTATACCTAAAATTATAACAACTGATTGGTGTTATAACCTATCTAATTTCAAGTGGTGTTATGACCTACCTACGTGGCTCCGCTACTGTACCAATCTATTGATCCATGTGCCATAGGTGAAAGGATGGAACTCCACAGTTTCAAACTAATTATGGTGAAAGCTTTGCACCGTCTAACAATGGTAGACTATTGCTTAATAGTTAACTATAAAAATAAATCTATATCACTCTTATAAAAATATCTGGTAACCATGGAATTCAAATTGCCTTTTGAGCGACCTAGAAGATTTGGTATTTTTTGGGCATGTGACTCGGACCTAGCCGCGCCAGAGAAACGCACCGACACTACCCCAAATGCCGCCAAACCCGTCAGGACGCGACGACGACCGAAGACCTCCAGCGCGGTCCAGCGCGAATGCCTCGAGCGCGACACTGTGAAGGCGGACCGGCGCGAAGACCTCGAGCGCGGCACAGGCTACGCGCACGTGGAAGGATCAACGCGTGGACCAGACCAAAGAGCCGCAGAAAGCGTCGTCTCGCTTCCCGAGGGGTAGTCACATCAGGGTCCTAAGCACAGTCGTAGGTAAGCCTCTGACATGTCCTAGGTATAGGCATGGCCTAAACCCCTGACATGTCAGTGGTCATGTCATTGTACCATCATGTATTTCAACCACTCACCCACCACCATGTAGCCTATAAATATGACATTTACTCCGGTGGGTGAGGGGATCGCATTTTTCATACTCTATCTCTAAAAACATCGACTTCTCTCTCTAAAGACTAATTCTCTCATCCCTGTTTCCGAAGGTCTCGGTTCTACATCAACACAGTCGATTTTCCTTGCTTACCTCCCTTGACCCACTTTCTTTCCCGAACCTCACTCCTACGCTCAGTTAGGTTCAAACAATTGGCGCCCACCGTGGGGCCAAGTAGAGAAGCAAAGAAAAACAACCAATGGCTGAACACAATCCCGACTTACCTGATGAAGCAACACCCATCAA